CATTCATATGCGTACACAATGTAATGTCTAATAAACATACACGCAATACAGGATAACTAGTTTGATACGAAAAGACGATATTTGGAAACAGACTCTGAAAATAATATGAAGACGTATAATATTGTAATATTAATTATTATTATATCGTTTAAATAACACTAGTTAAGTTATAATATTTTATAAATAAAAAACCTAATCTAAAAATAAAAAATACTACGACTGTCGCTAGGGTGAATGTATCGTGGTATTCCCAATTTATATACATTTCAACTATAATTTTTAGTTTTTATTCAATTACAAAAACATTTAATACTATACAGTTATAATTTTTTTTAACCATTTTAAAGTTAAGAAACGGTATATAATTTATGGATTAATTTAAATAAAATAACCTTTTTTAAAAAAATATGACAAATTTTTATTTCAAATGTGTATTGATAACAAAGGAAAAAATTAAAAATGTCTTGACTTATAATTACTATACAATATTGTTTGAAATAAATACATTACACATATTGTTCTAGTTTAAATTTAATTTGATAATATATTTACTTTATTAATATTTAATATTTGCTCTTGGTGATTATTTTTACAAAACGGAATACAACTTCACCCTAAATTGTAACTATTATGGTATGTTAATGGCTTTCAAATATGATATAATACAATAAAATTAATCGTAAAACACGTCGAACGCACACACACACATATCTGATTCTATTGACTTTTAGTATATTTAATTTATGATAAGGTAGAGTTAATTTTTCCGTACAAACGAAAACGATGTGACATATAAATATTATTCGAAAACAATTAAACTATAATATACTCTATCATTATAATTTAATACAGTTAAAGGATAATTGTTAAAGCTAACACCCTGTATATGATAGAATAGTTAAAGGCAGCCTTTACTTGGCGCCTTTTACATCGTTCTACTAGACAATAGACGGTCACACCCACGATGATAAACATTAAACGAAATGTGTTCTTTGTCAATCTTAAGTGAAATTGTTAATTCTATAAACGCGTACAATAAATAATACAAATTATATTGTTTATGGTATTTTTATATGTTTTGAGTTTATTTATATTTACAAACTGCAAGTGGTTTAGAAATAAACGTACTTTTGCAACTAGTAAACAATTATATACTTGTAATGATGATTAATTTTCAATTAATTATTGCTTTCATTTTTCCCTTACCGTAGTCCGCGCAAGCGGTGTGTCACAACTAAAGCTATAGAATAATCATAACAATGGTTAAAATACAAAAAAAATATTGAATAAAAGTACAAACGCCAATAAATAATAAATAACGATTTAAAAATTAATATTGTTGTTGGTATTTAGTTAATACTGCAAACTTTAGAAAAGCGCATAGTTTTAATACATTTCTAAAAACTAATGACAAAAATAGGTTAGTAGAATTTTCAATTTTTTTTTTTTTTTTTTTTATTGAACTTAAGCTTCGGCAACTGAGGCCATTAGCTGTAGTAGGATTTGTATTGTAGTTTGTATTGTATATTTTTGGAACGGTAGGGGGGAACACGTGTGTGTTTGTTTTTTGGCAGAATTTCGAATGGGGCACCCGTAGGTTTCTGCCATGCCCCGGGGGTGGGGGATGGCAGCACTTGTTCTCCGGAGAAAAATGCCGCCCGGTAGCCGAGGATCGAACAATTTTCAATTAACTTCCTTTTATATTGAATACTGAACACATGCATTAATTAAAAACATTTATTTATTAATTATTAATGATACAATGTTAGAATTCATGTAAAATATTAAATTTTAATGTGGTTATTTGTTTAATGTCTGTATACAAAACTGCGTTAGGTATAATATTATAGAGAAATTAGTTTATTTTTTAAAATTTATTTAGTTATAGTGTTTACAGTATATTTAATTCATTTTTAACTTTATTTAAAAATGTAATCAAATTAGTTTTAATGTAAAAAAAAAATGAAAAAAAAAAGCCGACAATCAATTATTAATTGACAAAAATATTCTTTTTACCGAATACTAGAATACCAGCTGTTTCTATTTTTACATTATGAAGTTTTTACAAGAATAAAGTTATTTCTACTATAAACTATAAAGGGTGTGTCATAAATGTTGTTCTAGTACCTACCTAATACCTAGTCATGGTCAGTTTGGAAAAAGTTCTTTGTATAGTTTTTGAGCTTCGCACATCGATGACCACCAACTTATTGGTAGACATTTATTCTGCATTTTTATTTGGGAAATTCGTTCGAGTGCAACAATATTACTAAAGTAGAAACTAAAACCCCAAATATTATCCTTTTAATTTTAGAACAATCTGGTCTTTTAACTATTTCTCTAGATAAATATCCATCAAATAGTGAAAATAAACTAAAAATTCATTTTTCTATACCTACTAACGACATTAATGATAACTAATATTGTTGTTTTCTAGCACGATAATTAAACAATGTAAAATATAATATTTCCTTATAAATTGTAATTCTTCATCAAACAAATTTGACGTACATTTTACGAGAATAGTTCCCATATCATGTGTGACTGTATTTTACATTCTACTGTTTACAATTCCGCACTTAAAAGTATCGAAGTGATTAAAAATTAAAATTATATTGTAAACATTAGTATTTATTTATTTTGAAAATGCGTACCGTAGGTTTGAATTAAATAAACTCTATTTTACTTATTTAGATTAGTATTGAATGCATTAATACTTTATATAATCAATATAACAGTTGTATAGTATTATTTATAATTATTTTTAATGACTGTTATCAAAAGAATATTTTTAAATACATATGAAAAAAATTATTAACGCCTATTAAAAAACAATGTCTTAGGAAAAAATTAATATTTATGTTATGACATGAATGGTATTGCAGCCACCCCGTTCTATAAATTACATTTCCGCAGAGTCAGAATCCTTTATAATTTAGTTTTAAACTAAAATCCTCGTTCAAGCGAGTAAAAACAAGAAAACGACTGAAAAAAAATTGTTTGAGTATTTTATATTCTGCCTTTTATATGGTTTAAAAGAAAAGTAAAGATCAGGCTTTGAATAGTTTTGTATGAAAACTGCTTATCCAAAATATATACTTTGACCAAGGCAAACAATAATAATGGACTTCACAGTTAGAGCTTTCGTGTGTATAAGTCATCACCCTCGAGCGTTAAGCAAACAGGACACCGATTCGGAGAACTTGCACTTATAAAATATACACTGTTGTGGGTAAAAGTAAATGATGTAATATACTCTACATAATATTATCATTACTATATATATACATGCGTATGTTTTAATATTAGAGGTACGTTTCCGCGGATAAAGTGTGTAAAATTATATAAATTGAAAATGCCATTGTAATTGGCGGCGATGTTTGAAGAAGCGGAATTCGGTTGAGCGAGGGGTAGTAGGGGGTGCAGTTGGTTCGGTAATGACACTTGACACGTATACGGCGACGGATACGTATATGTGCCGCCATCATTGGTCGGAGAACAAGTGATAGCTGCGCGTTAAGTGATTTGGTGACGAGAAAATATTATATATTTTTCACATTTTAAAAAAATCGCTCAAGCAAATAATAATTATAAAAAAAAATGTTCCCGTTTGGCATGTTATAATTTATCTGACAACACTGTAAACCGACACGGCCATGTTATACTATATTATACATTTATACTTAGTACTTATGCGTTATAATATTATTATCATTTAATTTATAAGCCAATATCGTTTTTTGTTGTGATCACATTATTCATTGTATTATGCATTATTCACTTTTCGTTATACGAACGTTTACACTGTTTTAACAGCGATGCTTTTCCAACGACTTCAAATAGCTTCTTGCACCACTCACGATTTTAAAGTGGGAAAAAAAAACATTTCCACCAATAGAACGCAATATTCTTATATCAGCTAAACGTGTGCCTCCGATTTTAAACCGCAATAGGCTGTTAGTCATTAATAATAAAAAATAAAACTAAAAATATGATTTATTTTATATTGTAATATATTATTCTACACCGTCTTCTCTACTTTACTTATATAATATTGTTTGGTATAATTTTGACATCTCGAATACCTCAAGTAGGACATATTTTTTTTTAGTTACTAGGACATTTTAAAGAAAAAATAGCTTCTTAATTTTCTGATGAAAATAAATTAGCTTAACCATTATTTGCTTGCTTTTTGTTGACAATTTGATCAATAGTTGGTACATTAAGTGGGTCAGAGGTAAAAAATAAATTGTTCTTTTCTAAATAATCAGGTAAGACTAACAAAAAAACACCAAGATAACGGAAATAACTTAGACTTTGGGTCACATATTCACTAAAGTTGAAAACCGATTGTATAACTTAAGCAAATCGATAGTTCAAAACTGTCTATATTCTAAGTTATTGTTTAGCAATATAGGTACTGTGGAATCATTTGCTTATAAGCTAGTCCCATTTAAACGATAAAAGCGTGTTTCTTATAATATCGAAAGACATCCATAACGATATGAATTCTCTAGACAGTTATCCAGTTAAAAATGGAAAATCTCAGTAATGCATTTATTATAAAAATAGACAATGAATTTAATTACAAGCAGAATAAGTTATTTATGTATCTTATTACCGATATAGAGACAACATTCACTCATTTATACTTTTGTAAAAAATAGGAAATATACTTTTATAATATTAGACTAAAAACAAAGCAATACAACTCATACTTTATATTATGTAATAATTATCAGTAATCGAGATGAGTAGGATAATACACTAAGAATAGTTCTTCAAACACATACCCATGATAATATGAAAATTAATTTTATATGGAGTATAATATAAACATTAACGAAATTCATATTTAAATTGAACTTGATCCATTTATGTACACTATTCAAACACAATATAAAATAAATAAACGTCTACGCCCCAACCGGTTCTAGTTTGACGACATTATATGGTAACTATCAGGGCAAAAATGTTGACCACTCACAATATTCATATGGAAGGGATGTTGTTACGAATTTTTAGCATAAATACCACGGATCAGCTCACTATAATCACCAGTTCATTTCTGTACACAGTCATCGTTCAATTTGACAAAAAAAAACCCAAAACAACACTAAAATGGCCGCTAAGGTAAGTCGATATCATATCGATTACATGTTTCAAAATTATATTACGGTTTTTGATTTGAGAAAAAAAGTATTTGGTGATAGAAAAAGTACATTTTTTTGTAACTCAATAACGTTTTTTCATTACAGTTCGTCATCTTCGCCGCTTGCGTGGCTACCGCCCTCGCCCAATACTCCGCCCCAGCTTACAAGCCAGCGTACTCTGCGCCCGCTTACTCGGCACCAAAGGCTTACGCCCCAGAGCCCGCATACGCACCCACACCGTACAACTTCGAATACAGCGTAAACGACCCACACACCTACGATGTGCACAGCCAATCCGAATACAGTGACGGAAACGGTTACGTCAAGGGATCCTACAGCCTCGTCGAAGCCGACGGCTCAATCCGCACCGTCGAATACACCGCTGACGACTACAACGGTTTCAACGCCGTCGTCAAGAACGAAGGTGGATACAAGGCCCCGTCATACTCTGCCCCATCATACTCCGCACCAGCCTACAAGCCAGCTTACTCCGCGCCAGCTTACTCTGCCCCAGCTTACTCTGCACCAGCCTACGCCGCACCAGCATACTCTGCCCCGGCCTACAAGCCAGCTTACAAACCAGCATACTAATTTATTTAGCCGTGTGAACCAACACTCTTCTTCATCTTTTACTTCATGTTTTCTTCGTGTACCTCTCTTGACCGTCGCGTTCACATTGAACCGTGGTTTCAAAGTCATACCGTGCCGTATTAATATAATATAATATGACAATTGGTACGACTATGTATTTATTGTGTAAATATATATAACAATGTATATTTATTGAAAACGCCTGTTTTTATTTTATTTCAAACCTTGCACCCTGCCTAACCATGAACTGCATATTGAAATATCAAACTATTAATCCCAAAATACTAAAATGTATTTATATATACAGATTTTCATTGAAAAATATAATTGTTTCTGGGGATAAAGAGTGTAAATTTATAAAAATGGAATATGTCATTGTAATTAGCGACGATACTTAAAAAAACAGTATTATTGGTTGTACTTGGTAGTGAGTGCAGTTATTTTGGTGTTGCTACTTGGCACGTACATGGTGACCAACTGTACATCACCATCATTGGTCTATAAACAAGTGATAGCTGATTGTTAAGTGATTTGGCAACTAGCTAATATACCTAATATTATTCACATTTTAATAAAATTCTTGGTCATCCCTTAAAATATGCAACAATCGTTTTTTAAAATATAATTATTATTTTGTAATTTCATATTATGTAAATGTGTGTATGCATACTAGCTGGCCTTGAGCATTTTATTAAAGTTTAAAAATACCAATTGGAATGGAAAAAGTATTTGATATGTAAATCAAATAAGCACTTTAAATGTTCCTGATATCTTCAAGAATGATTTGAAATGTTCAGAAAATAGATAGGTTATGTAGTTTTTGAGTATACTTATATAAGCTACAAACATACATTCAACTCTCATATTTGTTTTGAAATATAATTTATTTATTCGAAACCATAAAATAGACCATTTAATATTTTAATGCATGCTTTTACCTCATTTGCCCGAGTAACGGCAATAAGTATTAATTGTTGGTATTATAATTATAGTATAATCTGTAAGCCGTAGCAAATAGCAACCAGTTATAAAACCAAAATTTCCGTCGTAAATATCAAAATCCTTTCTTAAATGTTCAAAAAAATAATTAAGGGCCACTTATCGAGATAAAAATTATCCTAAATTTTTAGTTGGACCAAATTACACACGTTTAGCATAATCTTATCAAAATCGGTTGAGTGATTTTGGAGACCATCGCACTTAAACTCGTTGTATCTTTTTATATATTATACTAGCTGATCCCGTGCACTTCGTTGAGTGTTGAAAATGCCAAATCTATTCACGACACTCGCTTGTTATAATGCGAGCAATATATTATCAGGTAGGATATCATAATATATGATTATTATTGTACCCCATGCTAGGTAAATACTCTATACGAATAATATTTTTTATTTTAATTTAATTTTTTATTTTGTGGTTGTCGAGTTTGATAGTTATTTATTTTCAGCCAGCGACTATTTCTAACTATAAATGGTATAGGTATAGAATTTACAAGTTTATTTTAATTAATAACAACTAATTATTTATTAACTTTATCGGACTAAATGTATGCCTAAAACCTTCTCCGTGATGTCATCATTCATTTAAAAAAAAACCACACGACGATTGAATAAATAGTTTGGGAGTTTATCTCGAACAAAAAAACGCGACTTCATTTTATATATAGTAGTATATATATAGAATATAGATATAGATATAAAGATATATTAGAAATTAAAATATATAATTTAATTATTACTATTTATTATACATCTAAAGTTACCATCATAGGAATTCTCTCATCCTAAATAAACTCCGCTATTCTGGACTTCTGGAATAAGTAGATACTATTCGAAGATTTTATATGTATAAGTCATACAGTAACAGTGATAATGTATTGATTAGGTCATTTTATCCACTATGTAAAATCATACTGTAAGACTGCTCTAGTTACTGTAGTACATTATGTACTGCCGTACTGGTAAACAATCTACGATCATGTAAGACCTGATCACTATGCAAAAAAAAAACACCCGTAATATAATAGAATTAAAAATAAAGCAAAGTATTTAAAATCTAATCAGTTATCACGAAATCGACATTCTTTAATGACATAACTAACGATATTAATTCCCTTATCAGTTAAACATTTTTAAATAAAAACAGAGTACCTACCACTCTGCTATATATCATTTTATGGATGTGAATGTCTTAAATTTGAATTACATGATATTATATTATTGTATATGAATAAAACGTTTCTGGGCGAAGACTGTCTGTCAGTCTACGAGTATATTACTAAATACATTATACGATGTTACTATATTGCTATTAAAGTAATTTGTTTTATTAATACGTAATAGTTATGTAGTAGGTTAAATACAATTTCGAATAGAACATTGGATTTATAAAAAGTTATTGTTCATATGAAGTATACTAATATACGATAAATGTTTAAAGTACCCACAATTGTGTTTATAAATTGTGACAGAATAACTAAAATCGTATACTAAGTTAAAATATTTAATTACGTTCAAATTTCAACATAAAAAAAAATAAAAAGTTTTTATGTATTTTTGAATTTTTGGTTTAAGTTTGAACTTTTTATGAGAAACATTGAGTTTATTTTTTAGTGAAACTCCTACAAGTGAACAATTGATGCATTTTAACTGCTCCAAAAGAAGTGTAATCCTTATTGTAACAGACACAAAAAAAAAAATCTATTATTTATAATACCTATCATTACAACTCAATGCAATTATCGCACTGTTAGGCATCACATACCATCAATGAGTTTATTATTATTAAATCAAAAAGGCAACAGTGATTAATCAATTGCTAGTATATTTAATTATTGCAGTAATAGGTACCTTATTATCGATTCAGTATTTCAGTGACGACTTTACCTCATACTTTAATTTTGAAAAATAAGAAAATAGATTTTTATAATTTTCAAACAAAAATAAAACCATAAGAACAAAATAAGTGATGTGATAATAATAATCAAAATTCAAAAAGAACAGAATCGTTACACGTTAATGGTAGATATTTCATCGAAAAACACGATTGTACAAAAAAAGTATTTTAAATCGGAGTGTGTGAACGGGAATGAAATTCACATTTTAAATGAACTTGATCTATATTCACTCTCTTTGTACACATATATTTAATAAAAATGAAATGTACTTCACGGGCGTCTACGCCTCGACCGGTTCTTGTTCGATGATCTACGGACAATATTATGCTGTACACACCAACTGCTGGTGGGAAATTGTACGGTTTAATGTCATATACGTATGGAAGGGATGCTGTTACGAATTTTTAGCATAAATACCACGGATCAGCTCACTATAATCACCAGTTCATTTCTGTACACAGTCATCGTCCAATTTGACAAAAAAAACCCAAAACAACACTAAAATGGCCGCTAAGGTAAGTCGATATCATATCGATTATATGTTTTAAAATTATATTACGGTTTTTGATTTAAGAAAAAAAAGTATTTGGTGATAGAAAAAGTACATTTTTTTGTAACCTAAAAACGTTTTTTCATTACAGTTCGTCATCTTCGCCGCTTGCGTGGCTACCGCCCTCGCCCAATACTCCGCCCCAGCTTACAAGCCAGCGTACTCTGCGCCCGCTTACTCGGCACCAAAGGCTTACGCCCCAGAGCCCGCATACGCACCCACACCGTACAACTTCGAATACAGCGTAAACGACCCACACACCTACGATGTGCACAGCCAATCCGAATACAGTGACGGAAACGGTTACGTCAAGGGATCCTACAGCCTCGTCGAAGCCGACGGCTCAATCCGCACCGTCGAATACACCGCTGACGACTACAACGGTTTCAACGCCGTCGTCAAGAACGAAGGTGGATACAAGGCCCCGTCATACTCTGCCCCATCATACTCCGCACCAGCCTACAAGCCAGCTTACTCCGCGCCAGCTTACTCTGCCCCAGCTTACTCTGCACCAGCCTACGCCGCACCAGCATACTCTGCCCCGGCCTACAAGCCAGCTTACAAACCAGCATACTAATTTATTTAGCCGTGTGAACCAACACTCTTCTTCATCTTTTACTTCATGTTTTCTTCGTGTACCTCTCTTGACCGTCGCGTTCACATTGAACCGTGGTTTCAAAGTCATACCGTGCCGTATTAATATAATATAATATGACAATTGGTACGACTATGTATTTATTGTGTAAATATATATAACAATGTATATTTATTGAAAACGCCTTTTTTTATTTTATTTCAAACCTTGCACCCTGCCTAAACATGAATTTTATACAAAAATACATTTTTATACATTATGTGGACTGTGGAGTGTCTGATAACTTTCAAAGCAGAAAGTATGTTAAAATATTGATTGTGAGTTGCATTTATTTATTATTTGGACGAAGTATTCAAAAGTTAAAGTCATGTGTCCATTGATTGCTTTATCTCATTGTTTAAATCAAGGTTTTTAGAAGAATTGTATGCAAAATTTAAATTATTTAATTTTGTCTATTTTATTATTTTAGTAGAATTTTATTTTACTCATCTTCACACATTAGACCAGTTATAAAATAAACTTATGAATAAATATAAATTAATTTTATCATAAAAGTAAATGTAAACAATATGATTTAAGTTTAAACAGTAAGTATAAATATATATATACATTTTAGAGTATTTGCATTGTTTACATAATTGTACATTAATAAAGGTGCTTTTTTTCGGACAAAATTGAACAGTTTTTCTTATGTCTTTTACAGTTTTAATAAAATTATTAAAAAACTCAACAAAATATTTAAAAATTACCATAGGTATTTAATTGGAAAAAAGTATGTACCTAGTATAATTTTATATTTTTTAATACATTACAAAAACTAATTACTAAAATATCGGGTTGATTTTACTATTCTTATTATCTTCTAAAATTGAAGGCTTAATTATTTGTAATATGTCTTGTTTGCTGTAAAAGAATCTTTAAATAATGTATCTTCTTTATGAAATTCATAATATAGTCATTTTAAAATGTGTTATGTCATATGAATAATATAAACATTTTGAAGAATGAATTCAAACGTATTATAACTGTTGTTCGAAGTACATTCTGCATTTCAAGTTTCGTTTTGGATATATTTACATAAATAAAATGCAAATGCATTTACAGTATTATAATGGTAGCATGATAATTAAAGGATTTTAATTTATTATTTCATTAAAATAATGTTTCTATACGCTTATAACACTTTCATACTAGTTGACTTTCAAATTATACAAATTTCTTTCCATTTTAATCATACAGAAAAAGACCAATAACATAATTTACACTTGTCGTCAATGATCAAGTAGCTTGGCATTATATGAGTTGCCACAAAAAAAATGTCCCTACTAGTTACTCTTCCTACAGAATTAAGTATTGGTATTAACATATAATCAATATAATACAATATTAAATAATAATGATAAATGTGGGGGATGAGGTGACCGAGTGGTCTGACGCGTCCGCTGCGACGCAGCCGGTCGCGGTTCGATCCTCGGCTACCAGGCGGCATTTTTCTCCGGACAAGTCGCGGTGACCGGAGAACAAGTGCTGCCATCCCCCACACCCGGGGCATGGCAGAAACCTACGGGTGCCCCATTCGAAATTCTGCCAAAAACAAACACACACGTGTTCCCCCCTACCGTCCCAAAAAATATACAATACAAACCTACAATACAAATTCTACTACAGCTAATGGCCTCAGTTGCCGAAGCTTAAGATTAATAAAAAAAAAAAAAAAAAAAATAATGATAAACATTAGTCATATTATACTCATATAGGTATATTGATGTTTTCTAATTTATTATACCAAACATCATTATTTAAAATATAGGGAGAACTTCATAATAAAATTAATGATCATTTTGTAAATAACCATATTGATATAGATATTTAGAATTATGTGTACAATTATTAAAAATATTAGACTTCAATCTGTACAACATACATAATGTTTTGTGCAAATAATGCACAACTATTAAAAATAATGATGTAACTAGTTTATAAAAATAAGAGCTTGGGAATAATATATTTACTATATATTTTATAAATATAAACATAAACATTAATAACATTTTTTAATTGTGTAAGACCCACTAATACATATTTTATAAGATGCCCATTGGGAAGCCACAAGTCCCTTTTTAACTAGACCGTTTAATTTTATTATGAAATTTGTTGTATGTCATGTGGGATTGGACATTCTTGAGGAAAAAATTGTGTACAAATTAACAAACTTTTTTACTTCGGGAGGCAAATAGTAAAACTCCTTATTACTTATGACGCTTTATGAAACATTAATGTATAAAGAAAGATTTGGGTTGGGTAAATATTATGGGTTAATATAATATTGACGTATTTGGTTGGGAGTATCCTTACTTGTTCTCATTGTCTGATAACTTAAAAATATGGACTTTAATGCCAGTACTGCAAGTTTTCTTGTCACATAATTTATAAGAATACACTTTTCAATAAAAATCTATATAATATATACCTATAAATATTAAATACATTTTAGTATTTTGGGATTAATAGTTTGATATTTCAATATGAAGTTCACGGTTAGGCAGGGTGCAAGGTTTGAAATAAAATAAAAACAGGCGTTTTCAATAAATATACATTGTTATATATATTTACACTATAAATACATAGTCGTACCAATTGCCATATTATATTATATTAATACGGCACGGTATGACTTTGAAACCACGGTTCAATGTGAACGCGACGGTCAAGAGAGGTACACGAAGAAAACATGAAGTAAAAGATGAAGAAGAGTGTTGGTTCACACGGCTAAATAAATTAGTATGCTGGTTTGTAAGCTGGCTTGTAGGCCGGGGCAGAGTATGCTGGTGCGGCGTAGGCTGGTGCAGAGTAAGCTGGGGCAGAGTAAGCTGGCGCGGAGTAAGCTGGCTTGTAGGCTGGTGCGGAGTATGATGGGGCAGAGTATGACGGGGCCTTGTATCCACCTTCGTTCTTGACGACGGCGTTGAAACCGTTGTAGTCGTCAGCGGTGTATTCGACGGTGCGGATTGAGCCGTCGGCTTCGACGAGGCTGTAGGATCCCTTGACGTAACCGTTTCCGTCACTGTATTCGGATTGGCTGTGCACATCGTAGGTGTGTGGGTCGTTTACGCTGTATTCGAAGTTGTACGGTGTGGGTGCGTATGCGGGCTCTGGGGCGTAAGCCTTTGGTGCCGAGTAAGCGGGCGCAGAGTACGCTGGCTTGTAAGCTGGGGCGGAGTATTGGGCGAGGGCGGTAGCCACGCAAGCGGCGAAGATGACGAACTGTAATGAAAAAACGTTTTGAGTTACAAAAAAATGTACGATTTCTATCACCAAATACTTTTTTTCTTAAATCAAAAACCGTAATATAATTTTAAAACATGTAATCGATATGATATCGACTTACCTTAGCGGCCATTTTAGTGTTGTTTTGGGTTTTTTTTGTCAAATTGGACGATGACTGTGTACAGAAATGAACTGGTGATTATAGTGAGCTGATCCGTGGTATTTATGCTAAAAATTCGTAACAGCATCCCTTCCATACGTATATGACATTAAACCGTAAAATTTCCCACCAGCAGTTGGTGTGTACAGCATAATATTGTCCGTAGATCATCGAACAAGAACCGGTCGAGGCGTAGACGCCCGTGAAGTACATTTCATTTTATTAAATATATGTGTACAAAGAGAGTGAATATAGATCAAGTTCATTTAAAATGTGAATTTCGTTCCCGTTCACACACTCCGATTTAAAATACTTTTTTTGTACAATCGCGTATGTCTTAGTTTAACTTTTCACGTTTTATCATCCCATTTATATCAATAACCGATGATTATCACATTATTTATATTATTTTGGTGATTAGTTGGTTTATTGTACCTATTTATTTTTGATGTATTTCTGAACCACTGAGTAATGTGTATATTTTTCTGATAATACTTTAGTTGTATAGATAGACGTACATACTACATACCAATGTATTTTTTTTTTACTTTTGTTCAAATAAAATTTAAATACGTTGACATAGGAGTCTAGAAAACGGATGTCTCTAATTTCTTGTTATACCAAATAATACCAAGTACAATCTTCTGATTTTCTATTTTAGAATCTTTTTTGGTAAGCTTGGTAAGAGAGTGTAAGTTGGTGCACAGGACTGGAGGAATAAAAAGTGATTAATTCTTATTATTTTCAAATACGTTGGAAAAACAAAAAAATTAATGTAATTTAAAATGTTAACGTAAAACCATTTTTAGACATACCTAATAAATTTTGTTTTTTAATGTAATATTTACACTAATAACCGTAGATACTTAAAGTTTCTAAAAAATATTTATATGACCATTTTTCATACACAATTTAGTTATATTAATACATTGACTGTTTCTGATTATCTGAAAATTAAACTTTAACAAAATACATCATCCTCCAAATTTAAAAATTTGAAAATTATTTTCTAGTTAGAAATTCTTGTAAGTTTTTGTTTATGTATCTATTATTTAAATATTTAATGGAATATGCCTATTAAGTTTATACATTTCTACAAAAAAATAGATTGCTAGATATCAACATTAATTACAGTAACATATATCTAATGATCATTTCAATCGAACATTTATAAGGTATTCCATATTTAGGCATAAATTAATGATTTTTCGCCTATCGATTTTTGAAATTTTGTTGTAATTCAAAAACAAATATCAGTAGGTACTTAAAAAGTCAACAAATGTTTACATTAAGTACCTTTTTTTACATATGATAGAGTTATCTGAATATTTTGAATCCTTTAAAGCTATTCAGAACAAGAAAAATGTTCTATTGTTTTCCAATTATTTCCTACAAATAATAAATACGCTCAATAAAAAAAATTGATAATTTAGTACTTAAGTTCCTTATAAGTTGTTATAATAATAGCAGTTATAAAATATTAATGACTTTACATATAGGTACTCAATATTTTTTGCTTATTCATTTTAAGTTAAAATATTGTCGACACTTATCAAAATTATAAAATTTTGCAAATTATGCAAATTATTATAGTATAGTTAAAAATTTATAAATTTGTAATTTTTTTTTTAGGTAAGACATGAAAATTATATGCATGGTTACTCGTAAGTAGATCATATAGGAACGATAAAATAATTTAAATACATACAAAGAAAAATATTTATAGATTTTCCAAGTTAAAATTTGGACAAAATTATATATTTTTCACCGAGCAATACGATTTTATTTGTTACGTTATGATTTAAAAATATTATTTTGGGATACCTGAAACTTTAAAAAACTATTACCTTATATATAATATATATTGTATTATATTTCATACACACTATGACATTTCCTAATAAGTAAAATAAATTACTTAAATAGCAAAAATCTTGTAAAATTTACGTATTAATAGGTATAGGCTGACATAACGTATTTGTTCAGTATAATTTTCGTATACAATGATTTATCATTGAATTCAACTGAATTCATACATTACTAATTACTAGTAACACAACACACTGGATATCTACTGTACAGTCCAGCACCCACATGCTCATCTTTTCCCGACTACTTATAAAACACTGAGGTTTTCTATTTTTTCATCCCAAAAGTACCAACTAGATCCAATTTACTACCATACCAGAAACCTCCAAAGAATTTATGTTAATGATTACAATATTTTTTAACAAGTAAAAATTTTTCCAGATAAAAAAACACATTTTATTGGAAAATCAACACATTCTCTTCAGAACGATCGGATTCCATTTTGTATTTAAAATTTCTGAAAAATTAAAATTATGTTTTTATTTCATTTAAAATATTTGAGGTATCAAAATTGTTTTTTTTTAATTTCAAGGAAAGAGCTCTCGGCGACATAGGCCATTGGGTTTACATATGTTTAAATTACATGTTAAATGTTAAATGAGGTTATACTATAGAAAACTTAAATTTAAATTTTTGATTGAAGGTTTGCTGTTGTGATGAATTGCATGATGTCGGCTATGGCTTTGGGATGATTGTGGAGTATTTCGGCGAGTGTTTCGGGTAGGTTGAGGCTTGATCGGATTTTGAGATATGTACGGTATTCAGTGAGAATGTGTTTGATTGTAATTTGGACGCCGTATGTTGGGCAAGTTGGAGTTTCTTCCTTGGCCATTAGGAAACTGTGTGAGATTTGCGAGTGGCCAATTCTTAGCCTCGTTATAATAACTTCGAATTTTCTGGGTGTTTCGATGGGGAATGTCCAGTTGTCTGTTGTGTTTTATTTGATTTAGCTTGGTAGATAAGGACAACCATTTCTGATGCCATCTTAGATGGCATTTATTAGTTATAAGTGCTTGTATGTCCCTGTATGATACAGGTATCGAAATTATACCACACAATAGTATGAAAATCAAGCATCGGTAAAATTGTATACCATGTAAAAAAGATGGACGAGAATTTATTTTTATTATTTACTTAGGTATGTTTTAATCATTGATAGCCTGTATAGTTTACAGAGATTAGAGCATTAAGTCAATGAAAATGTATAAGAATAATTTGTTTTTTAGTTTTTCATTTTCAAATTACGAGTAGTGCAAATCCACTATTATTTGAAGCAATTTGAAAATCAATGCTGGTTAGAACCATGTAAACGGTTATAGATCTGAATGTTAATAAACATAATTATAAAATTACAATAAGTATAATATGGACATATAATATTAAAAGGACATGAGTACATGACAGTGTAAAGATTACAATAAATAGGGAACAATGTTAGTGATTACGGATAATGTTAAGCACATGTTCGACAGATGTTCAAAACAACTTTATTTATTTTTATATTATAATTTGTGTGAACGATTTTATGATAATATATATAATATATATTAATATATATTATTATATTTTCTCGTCACTAAATTACTTAAAACACAGACCTTAGGCCAATTATGGCCACATACGTATCGATCAACGTAGACATGTCTATACCAAACTACCTGCCTCCCACTTCCGACACTCCGAACATCGATAATAATGCTTCTCAATCACCGTCGTCAATTACAATGACAGTTTAAATTTATATAAATTTACAGTCTTTATCTACAGCCACTTATCAGGCCTATAGAAGTATATCTATTAGCATAATAACCAATATATAATACTATAATATGGTCATGATATTATGTAAAATATATTACATTTAGAGTTTTACCCACAGTAGTGTATCATTTATAATAAAAGTTCTTTGAACAGAAATTGTGTAATTTTTGAATTCCTAAACTTACACTTACACGAATTATAAAAATAAAAAAATATTCGAAAATTGTTTATTAGGGAAGTACTCAGAATACATTACTTTTAACTCTGCAGAAAAATATTAAATGTTATCAAATATAAAATGAATGCAAATTTCAGATTAAAATCACAATCAATCAATATTCTAGCATATTTTGTGCTTGGAAAGTGATAAGACACTTAAAAACTGTATATATATATATATTTCAGTATTCCAATAAATAGTTTGATATTTCAATATGAAGTTCATGTTTAGGCAGGGTGCAAGGTTTGAAATAAAATAAAAACAGGCGTTTTCAATAAATATACATTGTTATATATATTTACACAATAAATACATAGTCGTACCAATTGTCATATTATATTATATTAATACGGCACGGTATGACTTTGAAACCACGGTTCAATGTGAACGCGACGGTCAAGAGAGGTACACGAAGAAAACATGAAGTAAAAGATGAAGAAGAGTGTTGGTTCACACGGCTAAATAAATTAGTATGCTGGTTTGTAAGCTGGCTTGTAGGCCGGGGCAGAGTATGCTGGTGCGGCGTAGGCTGGTGCAGAGTAAGCTGGGGCAGAGTAAGCTGGCGCGGAGTAAGCTGGCTTGTAGGCTGGTGCGGAGTATGATGGGGCAGAGTATGACGGGGCCTTGTATCCACCTTCGTTCTTGACGACGGCGTTGAAACCGTTGTAGTCGTCAGCGGTGTATTCGACGGTGCGGATTGAGCCGTCGGCTTCGACGAGGCTGTAGGATCCCTTGACGTAACCGTTTCCGTCACTGTATTCGGATTGGCTGTGCACATCGTAGGTGTGTGGGTCGTTTACGCTGTATTCGAAGTTGTACGGTGTGGGTGCGTATGCGGGCTCTGGGGCGTAAGCCTTTGGTGCCGAGTAAGCGGGCGCAGAGTACGCTGGCTTGTAAGCTGGGGCGGAGTATTGGGCGAGGGCGGTAGCCACGCAAGCGGCGAAGATGACGAACTGTAATGAAAAAACGTTTTGAGTTACAAAAAAATGTACTTTTTCTATCACCAAATACTTTTTTTCTCAAATCAAAAACCGTAATATAATTTTAAAACATGTAATCGATATGATATCGACTTACCTTAGCGGCCATTTTAGTGTTGTTTTGGGTTTTTTTTGTCAAATTGGACGATGACTGTGTACAGAAATGAACTGGTGATTATAGTGAGCTGATCCGTGGTATTTATGCTAAAAATTCGTAACAGCATCCCTTCCATATGTGTACGGTCGACATCTTCCCACCAGAAATCGCCATATATATTCGAATAAGAACCGGTCGAGGCGTAAACGCCCGTTAGTACATTTCATTTTTATTAATTTGTGATTTAACAGTTTGAATTTGGTTCAAGTTCGTTAGAAATTGTAATTTACGTATACGTTCACACTCTAATTAACATACTTTTATTGTAGCCTGGTACCGTTCACTAATGAACGCAAATTTAATTTTCTACATTTAAGTTAATTTTGAATAATAATTATTGTCAGATAAAATGTACATGGTTGAATTTTAGTTGAATATGTTATTAATAATTAATACAAGTTAATTAAGGTTTTTAGTTGTCACTGTACCAGAAATTAGATATTACAAAATTGTATTATACTGGAAAATATTTTTCACTGTTTGATTAAAGAACAATTATGCATAATTTTAAATGTACAAAGTATAAGTTCAAATTTCTGTAAATAGCTTAAAAAATTCCAAACATTTAACGATATGATCCATAAAATGTTAGTGTTTTGTAAAAATAATATATAAGTACATTTGTTTTTTTTTAAACGATGACAAAATTAATTTTATCGAAAACTATTGGCGTATTATTATTGCTGTGTTTCTTCTAGTATTTTTCTCTGATGTTCTACAAGTTTCGGTATTATTTTTATTTTTCACCACTCAAACCGCCCAATTAGATCCAACTTAGTGAGAATAGATGAATATCTTCTTTTACAAAACGTTTTTCAGATACACATAAAACACACATCATTCGTGAGCTCTTACATTTATCGTTTTGCTCAAAATTTTAATCGTTTATAATGATTATATTTGGTGAATACTTGTCAAAAAAAGAACTTAAAATTCTAATGAAAAAATCGTATCTTATTTTTATAAAGAAGTCCCATGCATTTTAATATCCATAATATACCCCGTGGTTTCAAAAAAATATTAAGTAAAGATATTTTTTTTTTATTTTGTATTATTATGTAATTTTTTTTTTCATTATTATTTAATTAATTGTGTCAACAATTCAACATTCTCTATTTTTACAATGTTAAATTAAGCAATTACAACTTTCTTTTCAACAACCGTATAATATATTCTACCGCTCCACCCGTTTATTCTTTCCATGATTGCCAAAAATGTTGATTCATGATTTGGCTTGATTATGCCGCAAAAAGGAGCAACAAAAGTAGTGTAGCTCAATTGCCTATCCACATCGCCGTGTTAGAATATTTTTAAATACTATGGGGACGGTTACATTTAAATACCATTTATAATACGTCTTATTTTTGGAACATATATTTCAATATTAATATTTAAAAGTGTAATAGTTATAAATTGTGTTTTGTTTTTCATCCATCTTATGTTCCAGAATGGAACTTCATTTTTTTTTTCATGCTGGATTGTTAAGGCACATTTTAATCCATCAATTTATAAAAGACAAATAATTGGTTGTTCCGATAAAAACACCGTATTAAATAAAACAAAATGTAATAATCTCTTAAGTTTTTAGTAATGAAAAGTTATATAAAATATTAAATTTAAATAAACCCTTCATGTGAAATAAATACACATACAATGACTGTCACAGTTAAATTATATTTTACATAATATTATGTGAACTTAAATATTACACATTTTGTTTATGTTTATTATAATAATCATGTTATAACATGATTTTATAATTTTATTAACTGGCCATTATTGCTGTTATTAAAATATGACATAATATAATAATCAATCACATAATTTAAACATTTGTAGCTTACATATATTTTATAATATAATGGATTTTGATATCTTTTCGATTTTCGACTTAATCCAAGGATACATTTAATATTTTTATGGAAGTCATATATTTTCTTTCAGAGGTTTTCCTTATCTCATTTTCACTTTCATTTTTTATTCAGATCACATATCTTTTAATAAAATCATAAATTGGTTCTTATATGATATTTGAGGATATTAAAAATATATGTTTCTTTAAATTCAAAATATGTATAAGAATACTAAATTATTATCATATACTACCAAAATATTTAATATAGGTACATTAAAAGTATATTATTTTATTTTTATTTTCAAAAATACTTATTAGGCATAACAATTATACCTTAGGTATGCTCATATGCTCTGTACTTTATTTTTTGTGTTCGATATAATATATATATATTATGTACATCTAAATCCAAATTGTACATTTAAGTAAGTTGTAACAAGTATTAACGAAGTGGAAAAGAAAAAGGTATAAAAGTAAAATGTTTTTCATTGAAATAAAATAATTAATTTAACTGGTTAATATGTTAAACGTCTGTGGGATTTTATTTAAGAATATAGAATCCTTAAACATTATAAAAGTTAAATATAGTTTTATTTATTGTTAGATTTTATACAAGTTCTAAAATAATGGCATGTCGTGACTTGAATGTGTGATGTTTTTCAGAGTGCCTATTGCATTTTAATTTTTTTATTAAAAACAAAATTTCACCAGATATAAAATATATATACAGCAGGTGTTAAATTATAAATTCAAAAACATCTGAATTTGAATGCTTAGATGAACTTAATTAACAAAATATTAAGTAAATTAATATCATTTAAAGTAAAAAATTTAACACCAGACATTGTGGCTAGATCCAAGTCGAATTAAAAAAGGCACTAACATATTTTAAATACTTAAGAATAAAATTTAAATTTAAGCCATTCCAAAATTTCACTTTTTATTTCTGCCACATCCTTCTTGCGAGTAAGTTGATATAATGTACTATACAAAATACATTAATTTATATTTTATATTATTTGAAAGAACAATAGTTCGTGTTTACATTGAAATATTATGTTATATTAAAACAAAAACAATAGGTTACAGGTATATAAAACTTATTGTAGCGTAAAAAGTATATTGCAAATCTCATTATTTTTATGAACGAAAACGAATACAAAGTGTGTTTCAACATTTATTCTGTTTATAGTTTATATTTTTAATAAAACCTAGTAAAAAATGTCTTAATAATTTGTATGTTTTTCATTTCCTTAACATTTTATTTTATTAAAATAAAATAAAATTATATAAATCATAGAAATGTTTTACTCATTTGTTTTATTTGTATTTTTGTTTCTTTTTCTTCTATTAATATTTATAAAAAAGTTTTCAGATTTTGAAATAAAAAATATTATGCACATAGTTTAAATATTCAAAAATATTTCTTGGCCAGAGAGTTAGTTACAAAAGGAAATTTTTAATGATCTAAAAATACAAATGTAGAACAGTTGAATACTCTATTTCGCCACTGAGGATAACCTCTTATCGACGATGATGGAGTACTAATAAAAACTAGGTATAAAAAATTTACATAGAATTTATTCAGATGAAAAACACAAACATAAGTAGACAGGTTTAATAATATTATAAAATAATAAAAAGATTGATGGCATTTAAATATCAAATTATTCAAATATTTAGGATTATTATTATTTTTTTTTTTTTTGTAGTAATAACAACTAAATACGTTTATATGTTTTAAATCAATGTAATTATAATGTGAAATAAACCACTTTATTGTGACACGATGTGATGCTGTGTCTACTTTTTAATTGCATATGTGCTCTGAGTGTAAACCAGGCCAGTGTTGATAGCTCCTGGATGGGTGACCACCCTGGGATTTCTTGCAGAAAAATCATTGATACACGTACAATGTGTGCTTCAAACCAACTATTTTCCCCTACAAACAGTTTATGGTCATAGTTTCCAGGCTTCAGCTCATTAAAAAAAAATAAATAAAAAATAAAACTTTTTTATTTTATGGCAATAATTACATTATTTTGACGTATCAGTAATTTAGTGTATGCATATAATATTTACAAAACATACCTAGTAATATTTCTTTGTTGATTGATTTCAGAAATACTTATACAAACTAGTTAGTAGTTAAAATGATATTTGCTGTTTCAAACAACGTTTTGATTAGAAAAAATGTAATGCTTCTTACAAACATATAATAGTTGACCTAATAAAACATTTAAAGATAAGATTATTATTTAGGATCATACGTAGTTTTTTATAGATATTATTATTTACATGTATGTTATGATCATTTCATAATGTACAGTTTCAAAAACTTACTTAATAAAAATAATATCAATAAAAGTCTACTTTATACTCAGGGCCCTACACAATAATCCTACCTTTGAATTTTATAATAGTTCAATTCACTCAAATATCAAAACTAACCGCACACTATTGAAACTGGTAAACGAAAATCTGCTATGGCGTACGTATATAAGACGACACACGATGACGATGGCACGACATCCTTTTATGCATTTTAACAACTGATAGCTTAACACTTTTAAATGATATTATATTAATATTATATATTTATTTCGGTTTTTAATACATAATATGTATCACAATATTATTACTAAAATTAAATAAACAAAATATTACTGTTTTGTTGTACAATATATGCTATATAGTATATATACTAGTATATATGCTAGTGTCTTGAAAGTTTATATTTTTCATTAAAATCCTAAAGTGATCAATCTTATAAATTACTATAGTTCTCAATATTTTAACACCTTATAGTTCAGAAAGTAAATATATCTTTACAATAAATGCCAGAAATAATCAGTGTTCTGATTATCATTGAATGAATTTCTTTCTTTTTAACTGTAAATCTCGTTATTGGAAACTTAAAAGTTCATAAAACAAAATAATTACAGTAAGCATTTGTAATAGTTCAGTGTGATTTTGTGTGATTAAACATCTATAAGTACTTAAAGTTTTAAATTATGAATAGTTTTCTTCATTAAATAAATCTTAAATGTGCCCTGTCCAAAAGTTATGCTATAAAAAATAAACTTTATAATTTTACAATAGACACTTACATTTTTATTAGTTTATTTTGTATTTAGCTGATTTTGATTTGTTATAGTTATAATGTCTTTATTTCAGAAAAGAATTGACAGTAATACCATTAACAAGTTTTTAATTTGCATT